AATTAAATACATTAGAAGCTTTTTTACAGGTACTGAGAAAATTAACATTAAAATCACCACATGCAACAACATTATTAATTAAAGGATCACATTGAAGTAACACATCATGCAATATAGACATAAAACTGTCGTGATGACCTATTAATTTTTCATTCACGTCTTCTACATTAAAATTTACATTAAAATTTGTAGGAGGGTGATAAGTACATAATAGGAAATAGTTTTTCCCGTTAAATATAACTTTGGTTGCCGAGATTTCGCATACTCCTTCTTGACTTAGGTTTACTAAGTTTGGGAGCTGATAATGATCTATATGTGATTTAAGAAGGATGAGAGTCCCTCCCCCTCTTCCGAGTTTTCTGCTCATGGACGACACCATTTTATAACCAGGTATCACAAAGAGAGTTATTTCTTGTTCACTCATCCAGTGTTCAGTTATGAAGATGGCGTCTGGATTGTTAATACCGATTAGATGGGTGAGGAAATTACGTTTATTCTTTAGAGATCTTGAATTAAGATATATAATGTTGAGATGGCTAAGTTTGTCATGTTGATTTATAAATCCTGCTTCTTATTTTTTTCACTGATACATGGACCAACTTCGCCAACTGGTATTTCATTTAGACAGTCAGCAATTATTTCTGCCAGCTTGTCTTTGCCAGAAGCGTTAAGATGGAGTCCCTGTAGGCTATAATTTTCTTCAGCAAGATGTTCATTGACTTCTATGAAGTGCAGTCTTGAAGGGAAGCATATGTCTCCCTTTGCCTTGAGCATCAGTTTCTGAAGTTCGTTGTTATATCTTTCAATATGTTGGTTTGCATTGGGCTTATCATATCTGAAAGGAACAGAAGTTGTAATGACATTTGTGTGGTTTGTTTGGCTTATAAGATTGATCCTTTCTTCTTCATACATATTAATTCCAATGCATTGTCCTCTATTAGTAAAGGTCATGTCATTGGCTCCGGTAGTGGCCACAATGTAGTCATCTTCATCAAGTTGAGATGTCAGTAAGTTTAGGTCTTTTAGGACCTGTGATGTATTTGCTCCCCCATCAGGATACGCTTGTACATCAATGTCTTCTGGACTTCTTTTTTTCATGGGGTCTAGGATGCCTTTCACATGACTGTCTCCTAGGAGTACAAGTTTGTTTTCTTCTTTGTTATATCCTTTTTAAAGCGTTTGTTATTGACACTTTTGTTGTATTCCTGCTGTTCTGAGTCCTTGAGGTCGAGGATATACACCTCAATGTCTTCATTTTCGAAGATTCCTTCCAGTAGCTTGAGAACTTTCGGCCAGTTTAGTCCATCTAGTCCCGAGCCAATTCTAGGCATGCAGATCTTGGAGATACCCAGGTCGCTGCATATTTCTGGGAGTCTCTTGATGGATTTCTTGAAGTTGTTCCAAGTTGGTTTGTCTCTTGACAACTCCTTCGTTACAATGTTTAGGATGTAGTTTTTATCTTGCTGTATTGGTAGGATATCACCAACTTCAATCGGGTCTTCTTTCATTTCATTGATGGTCTCCTCAAGAGAGAAAGTTTCCTTTATGTTCCTAGCGATGCCATCAGATAACAATAGGTCTTTGCCAACACAGTGAGCAATGGAGTAGTTTTCAGCTGCTTTCAAGATATTGCCTTTGCACATTTTTATTTTGCTAAACGCAAAATTTTTTGGTTTTTTCGGAGAAGGCTTCTTAGGTTTCATGTCTTCTTCTTTAGTTTCCTTTTCAGGAATGGGTTTAGTTGGGTTTGTATTCACTAATTTGAGGAGTTGATCAATCTTGTTTTCCAGATTTTCTAGTCTGCAATTCTCAGATGAGTTCGGGTTAGATTGATTAGTTTGCCCCAAAGACTTGACAAAGGGATGTAACGGTGAAGCACCGCGACTACAACCCACCCTTCTGCTTAGAAAACGTTTTTTGGGGGTGGGGGAAAGTTTCCTTTCTATTTTGCGGTTTTTAGGCCTTTTTCTACATCTCATTGTTCACTATGGCAATTTTTAGCTTATTTTCGTCTAAAAAGACCCTCTAGCGCGTAAACGGTTAGAGATAGCGCAAAATGGACGAAATTTTCGCCCATAGGGCTCTACTTTGACGAGTTACCCCTTAGAAGACCATTTAATATTTTCGAAAATTTATAAATTGATTTTTGGGCCACTTTTGTGAGAGAAACTCACTCTAGCGCCCAAACGGTGAGAGATAGAGCAAAACGGACGAAATTTTCGCCCAAAGGGCTCTACTTTCACAAGTTACCCCTTAGGAGATCGTA